AAGCTTTTAAAATATTTACACTGTCGACTGTGTCCATTATTGCGGCGAACGCTGGGCACATCAGCAGCTTAGCTCTATTTGCCAGGTATGCCGAAATGGACCGTTTTATCTGTGCTATGTTCAGAAACGTTCTGTTCCTTCCTCTGCACTATTAATAATGTCTACAATCACAGAACACAAAGTCTCTGCAGCTTTATGTGTGTTATCGTTGGCCATGAGGCCTGATATACTGAAAATCATTAGAAAGTGTTTTTAACCTGTTCAGCAAAGCCATTTTTTTCCCAGTTAGACAGCAGTTTAGAGGCAGAACTCCAAAAATTGTTGAAAAGTTTTGCATAATTAAACGGTTAAGATGTAAACAAAGTCATTCAGATTTCTTTGCTCTAGAGAAACTCTTCTATGTGGAGAATTGTTCACAATGGTGGTGATGGGAACCAGACGTCTGAAGAGGTTAATGCCTCTAAAAGCTCCCTCACAGAAAGATATTAACCAAAATGTGAACGGTTAACACTGCATGATGTCTGAGACACTGTTTCATGATAGTTTTGAAAGTTTCGTATTTTTGTTTTTAATCCATTCATGGTGGAGAGGCACATGCAGACCAACTTTATTCAGATTTACCACTATTTCACTGGTCATTTTGGACAGTAAATGAAATGGCTGTATTTGTGTAGTAGACATTAGCCACGTTTACATGCAGCCTGATAATCCGTTAATAATCCGACTAATAGCTCAATCAGAATAGAACACGTCCATGTAAACACCTCAATCGGAATAGACTAGTCTGACTGAGGCCATTCGGAATACAATTTCTATCCGATTGAACGAGGTGGGTAAACTTCTAAATAATCCGTTAAATAGAAGAATAATAGCCATGTAAACGCCTGAATCCGATTACATTCCAATCGGAACGTGCAAGTATGTTCTGCGCATGTGCGTCGCGTCATGGCGAAAGTTTATACCGTTCAACATGGCAGGAGCAGAAACTGGGTCTGCAGAGGAGAAGAAGTTTATGCTCTGGTCTTTAAAAGACGGCGGTGGGACGGACGTCCAGCTTATGTGTCTCAGAACACGACGTCTTCCTCTCGGCCTTCTTTAATAAGGACATGTGAAGGACGTTTTCCTGAGTCTGACATCATTTTAAAGCAATTAAAACACAAGCGCGCCAACAGGAAACTCATATCACGCGGACTGGACCTCACGTGATGTTCGCTGTCATGGTAACGTTTACTCTAAACGCTACTCCACGCATGCGCGTCATTTTGCATCGGATTACTTGTAGTGAGCATGTAAACGAAGATTTTCCATCAAATCGTTGAATAGAGTGTGCATATAAACACCTCAGTCTGAATCTGTAATCGGATTGTATTCAATCGGATTGGCAAAAATCTTTACATGTAAACATAGCCATTGTGACCCCTGGTTCCCATCACCACCACTGTAAAGAAATCAGAGTCTGTAAGTTTATCTACAAAGAGCCATTTCACTTCAAACCACTCTGACTGACCTTGTTTACATCTCAATGACATAATTATGCTGAAATGTGGATAAATCATTAGAACTGCCTTTTACAGTCATTCTGAAATCAACACTGATAGTACATGCTGTTCAATCTATTCTCTCCACGGTAATGACGAATCGAGGACTGCAATTATACGGCTGGAATAAGATATTCTGCATTAACGTTAGCTCTCTGCCCGCACCCCGCCCCCAAAAATCCACCCTAAAGCAGTTGCAGTTTACCACAAGTTGCTCCCACCTTCAAGATACATGATCAGAAGTGACCCCTGGTTCCTCACCACTGTAAAGAGATGACGGTCAGACAGTTTCTGTATAATGAACCATTTTACATCAAAACTCTGAATGACTTTACATCTCAATAACTGAATTATTTAGAAGTGTTGACCTATCAATGGAATTCCCTTTTAAAGTCAGCCTGAAATCAAAATGGATGTGTTTTGGGGGGTTTGTTTTGTTTTTATGTGGATTAAGATTAGAAGTGTTTCACACATTGATGGATTTGCTGATGTGTGTGACATTATGTTTTTACCGGAGCGCTAAACTGGGTTTTTAACGTCAGGTGCAGACTGAATACTTTTCTGCTGGTCTGGACGGCTAATTAGCACGACCAGTTATTAAAGTAATAAAAGCTACTGAGAGCAGTCCGTGCAGACTAGATTAATCTGTGTCTGAGAATTATAATAAATCAAATGTGGTAAAAATTGGTTGAGTATTAAGGAAGTTGTGGCCGATTTAATCCTGAGACTCATCATCTCTCAATACACGTGAATTTGTTCACAAGCGGATCTTGACCGCTCCATCATGGCGGACGCGCAGACGCATCGCCTCAGATAGAGAACAACAGACAACACGGTGTCTAGGAATGTATATCTATGCTCACAACCTCTGGAAAACCCTCTGGTGCCAACCAATCTCGACTGCTAGCCTAGCCACTGAGCTACTGGCTAATAAATACAACCAAGGTTGCTTTGGTCTAATTCTTACCTTTGTTGACAAGCAGAATCATAAAGAAGGACAATTCTATCTGTATTCAGCACAAAATGGACAACAGAAACAAGTTTTTTACCCTTTCAGGCAGAAAAAAGAAGAGAAAACGGAGGTACTGTACAGCCAGGTAGCTATCTTTTAACTTTAGCTTTTAGCTTGGTTGACACCCAAAACAAGTTTTTTTTTACCACTTTAGCCAGAGAAATGAAGCCAAAATGAAGTACGGTATCTAGCTAGGTAACTTAGCTACTTTGCTAACAGTAGCTTTTAATTTTTTTTTTTAGTTTTAGTCCTCCTCATCTGGCGAGTCATTTCTGTTGTTTGAGAAATCAGTTCTATCCACTGTAATGACAGCTACTAACGTTAAACAGCTGCAATAAGGTATTAAACTTCCTAGTAGTAGCATTAGTGGTCTTGTCTTCCATCATTCAACTTAAAATAACCCCCCACCCAAAAATCACCCTAAAGCAGTTGCAGTTTTTCAAAGGTTGAAAAGGTGCTAAGTTGCTCCCACCTGCAAGGTGCATCATCAGAAGGGGGTCTTCCAGGTCTTTAAACTGGAAAATCTCACTCTAAAGATTACTGAGGTGCAGCTGTGGGAGGCAAGTTGGCATGTTTACCACAGATCTAGAGATGGGTAAGTCGTCACTGTGGCCGGAGTGGCTGTAATATATAGATCATGGATGGCACCTAATTATTATATGGCAAAAAAAGGAGATTTAAGAACTGCAATGAATCAAGGATCTGTATGGAAGTCCGGAGAGGCCACGAGCTGTTGCTATAATCGTTATCTTGATTAATTATTAATGAATTATCTTGTGATCAGGATAACAACTTTGTTTTTTAACTTATCTTGAGATCACAAGATAATTAACCTGTTATGTCAAGATAACAGTCGTAGGTATCTTGAGATATCAAGTTAATTATGAACTTAAGATAACTCTTATCTTGACATAATGACTGTCAAGATAACTTTGTTATCTTGAGATCACAAGATAGTTAACTCGTTATCTCAAGATAACAATCCAGAAAATTATAACTACCTTATGGCGTCTCTGAACTTCTGTATCTCTGTGATGACAGAAGCTGGAAAAAGGATCACAGCTGTGAAGAATTAAAAGCACTAAGCAAACAAACGTCTCTCACCTCAGCATTCGTTATTTGTTTCAGGCATCAAGCACTGAGAAATTCCTGAATTCACTGCCTTAAAATAAACTGCTCTCTTATAAATGAATCAGGTTTACCATGAGATTTCCAATCAACAAACTTCTCAGTAATTTTTCCAGAGGCCTTGTGTGTGATCATGTTCGATAAAATCTTCGACAGGCACCAACTAGCGGCTATGATGCCCTCAGGAGGACGTGTATATTAAAAAATAATAATAAATAACAGGTCAATATGAAACGTTAAAGATGTTTTCACAACAGCATCAGAAGCAATCTGATACTAGGTATGCATCGGTCCGATTATCCGCAGAAAATCCTGGTTTGGATGTTAGACGGGGAAAAAAAGGAATAAAATCTAATCCAATCCTGTAACAAACCTGTCCTGAAATAGCAACACTCACGTTGTGTGAGTCATGTTGTCAGCTGTGTATTTCCTCCTGTAGTGCAGTATTAGAAGTGGCACGATAGTCTACTTCAGGTACCTGCGTTAATTAAAAATACAGTAGCACCAAACAGTATTTGGACATTTGTGTCATACATAATTTAAGTTCGTTGTTTTTCGAAGTAAAATACCAAACTAATTTTAAACAGACCATTCCAACACTCATTTTCTTTTCAGTAGCATTCCAGCTCACCCAAGCCACCACCACAACCCCAGACTTTGTTGTTTCCACCTTTATGGCAGCCGCAGTGCAGTCTGGTTGGACTTTCTCCACACCGAGAGCTGAGTCTGTGTTGATGTGGTGCTAAAAGCTTCTCTGAAACAAATGTTTTGTTAAACATTTGAAGTCACCTAAAAAGACATCATTAAAGATTACCAATGGTTAAAGTGTCAGTATTTTTGAGGCCACTGTCTCTCAAGGTTTCAGTATCAGTCATCAGTGCTATGTCTATAGGTAAATAGCATACCTAAAATATACTGACTGCACCCTCATAGTCCACCAGAAACACAAGGACGGAGATCTTTTCAGTTTACAGATGGTCACCTGTCCGATGTAAAGATATAAAGTAAACAATAAGGTAAGCAGCAGTGTTTATATTCCACTTTTGTATAGTCATCACTATGATGGCTAATTGTTGGGTAGCTCATACAGTGGAGTGAAGAACCATGATGGATCTCGTGTGAAGGATCCGCTGATCGTCAAGAAAAGTTGTACAAGACATTTAATTCGTCTGAGCTTCTTGTCAAGTGCTGTAATTATTTTCTTATTTATTTACTTTATGAAATAATTATAACAATTAATTATTGCAGACGAATAAAGAATAGAAAAGAGAACTTGTTACGGACACTTCAAATGCTTGTATTTGTATGAACTAAGGCAGATGTGCACTCTTGCATCTCAAATAGTTTAATATTGAAAATGAAGTCCACCTACGTGTGGTCACATCGTATAAAGCTTCGACAGGCACTGACTAGCAACTGTGTTATGCCATGAGGAATTAGATGTTTATAAAAAAATAAAATAATAATAATAATAATAATAATAATAATAATAATTCCAGATTGTGTTGGATATTTAGTCTACAAACAACAGCAAACTGTTCTATACAGTCAGAAGCATGAGTTGAAGTACAAACCGAACAGGACATTAAACAGTACTGTAGCTAATCCTGCAGGCTTACGGAGTGACCAAGGCCATCTGTGCCCCTCATGAAGTCATCACATTAACGAATACTTTTTAACCCCACTGATGGCGCAAGAGTGAGACGTGAGATGATGAGACGTCAGTTCCACAAAGGCGGCAACAAAACCCCCAAAAAGAAAGCTAAAGAAAACAAAACAAACAAACAAAAAAACCCTTCCAGCGTATGTACATGTACATTTTATTTAATACAAATTAAAAAGTGTTCTTGCTCTTTTGTTAATGAGGGAGGAACGGAAACAGTTTTCAGAAGAATTAACGGCGGAGTCGTCCAGCAGCGTACAATCACAGAGGGCCCCGGCTGGCCGCCGGCTTTGCGCGAGGCCGGGCCAGCAGGACCACATCATAGTAAGAGCATAGCAGCATGAGGTGGAGCTCAAGAGCTGATTGGTGGAATTAGATCAGCTGACTCTAAGGCGTCTCCAACGTCCAGGTCTTCGCAGGGGCTGTCACAAGGCTCCGCCTGCCCAGAGTTTTCCCTGTCCGATTGCTGTTCAGACTGAATCTTCAGAATGAGCTCCTTGATCTCGTCACGTTTAGTTTTCATCCGTTGCTGGGGGAACCAGTCCAATAAGGTCATGGGGAGATGAAAACTTGGTATAGGATTCTATTAAATAGATAAAGACAGAAAAAAGATATTATTTAACATGTATTATAATTAGCATATTCAAAAATTTCTAAATATACACCTCTGTATTACAGCCTGGTAGCATTATTTTACATACAGAAGCAGCACAACCCAAGAATGTGCACCATGTGCCTGTTGTCCTTCAAAGTATACACTAAGACGGTTTTATTATAAAGCTTTAGGACCTTCTGATAAATCATAAGCAGTCACCAGGCCTTGTGTACACACTATAGTAAAAACCTTTTATTCTCAGTCTTTTAAACAGTCTTGATACATTGACTCTGAAGTGCTTGTGAGTGCTTGTAAATTTTACTCTCAATGTTTTCAATATATATTACCATATCTCAGTATTTGATATATATATGTCAGTGGTATTGAATTAATATAAGTACTGGTACTCTATGCTGTAAGTCCTACAGTCCTGGTACAGCTCTAGACTGTTAAAACTGCACTGCAAGTAACCCTACAGGAGTATTTCTAACAACATGACACACTTTATAGAGTAGCATGTCACTGTGGATTAGAGGTCTGTTATTAGGGATGTGCAGGGGTGGTCCAGTACTCTTAACCATTTAAAATGGCAGTATTCGAATGCTGAAATCACTGTTTGGGTATTCTTTACATTTCATCATGGTAAAACAGAAAACAGACAGAAAAAACAATTCTGTGAAACCGAAATACAAGTGCCTGAACGTGAGAGCGTGTCAACGATGTGGCCGAGAAGGTGGAGATACTATGGCTGCATCTCTAACAAGCCTAACTACTCTAGATGATCTTAGCCAGGTCCAATGACAATATACTGCTCTGACAGACAACATGCTGGCACATCATCCACTGAGGAGGAAATAAGACTGCAAGTCCTCGTCAGCATCCAACAGATCCAACATCACCAAAACATACTGATTTCCCTTGGCTATTTCTGAATGATAATACAAAACATGCTTTCAAGTATATTCCTCTGTGTGCTACTACATTTTTATGCAACACCAGTGCTGTCAGCTAAAAGGGTAAGCCTACAGCCCTACATATTTTGGCCAAAGTCAGATTTTTCCCCCCTGCTGTTTTTCCTTCCCAAACATCCATTCATGAACCTCAATATCAAAATAAGTCGAAATGCAAATCCCTATCTGGTACCCAATCCGAGCCCAACAGGACCCGACAAAATAGCGGGTTCTGAGCTGGCTTTGGGCTGATATTTCACAATTACTAATAATTTTTTTTGAAGTAGATGTTTTTATTTGAAAGGTTCTCAGACACAGACCGTCTCTCTCATGGCATTACAGCTTATAGCTGCGTTTGGAATAGCTCCTGAATTTGAGGAGTAGGGTAACATGAAATGAATGAAACAGTACATCGGTAGCAGTCACACAATGGATAATGAGAGTGATGTGTTTAGTTGGCAGAAAGGACAGCAGATTTTTCCCCTTGCTTTTTCACTTCGCCTCAAGTGTGTTAAGCATTTCTACAATAGGAAGGAAGTTTAGTGCAGTGGAGCTAATAGCTGAGGGAGATAGTGTGGAAAATAGCAGTTTATCTCAGCAAGATATTTTCTGTTGATCAACTCAAACACTAAAGGAAAGCGCTGTGAAACTGGGTGCGTGATAATTTATCTGTTATTGTGTGTGATCGGGTTTGGGTCAGGTTTCAAATTTGGCAGTGTTGGTAGGACCTGGTCTCAAAATCATGGGTACAGGTCAGGTTCAGACTTCAATTTCATGCCCATGCAGCCCTCTACCACGGATAAGATGCTCGTTATCTACCAAGATTGTTATGCAACACCAATACGAACACGCTGGTATAGATGATACAGATACTAACTCTGTACATGAGCCACAATATACTTATTACAAGCATGTTGTTTAGCCTCATAAGCATGCAGTAACAGACCTGTTAGCCATATGCACTTATTACTGTGGGCCAATTCCACACTGAAACTGCACCAGATCCAGCTGGACTTGTCACGACTGAATTAATTTTTTCAACTGTACCTCGAAGAAGCTCTCCACATACTGCAGGACATAGACGCCACAGTCGCTGAAGTTGTCCTGCTGAGGCACACGTGGGCTGGAGCCCTTCATCACATCCTTCCCAAAACTCCTCCGAGAGCCCTTCTTCACCTCCCACTCCACCTCCAGATACCTAAGTAAAAACAAAGTCATGTACAAATACCCATTTTAAAACGTACATACTGTTCTGGGCAAATGTAAAGCAACAACGTTTATACTTTCCCCATATCCTAATGGAAATCCAATACAATCACAGGCCTATGTCTTCCAACTGGGAACCTAATCCCATCATCGAGTATTAAATAAGTGTAATCAGTTCTCAGTGCAGGAAGTTAATTCTCTGCGTACTGCATGCAGTGACAGAGTAAAACATTCATTAAGATCAATTATCTGAGGGCTAAATCACAGGCTAAACAGCAAACCAAGTGGTGACCTACTCTCGCAATGTTTTCACCACAGTTGATCTTGCAGGGCCACGCAAGGAGTCCATGATGAGAATACAGGGTCTGGGAAATGAGGAACGCACAACAAGGAAGTAAAGGTACCATGCAAGTTCATCATAACCTCTCATTCATCGAAATATAAAATAAACACATTCATTATCTTTACATTACTATATTATTGATACACTGAAATGTAGTGTAGACCAGATTCTGATATTGTTTGACGTTTTTCTCTTCCTATAGGTACTACATGCATTATACACAGTCCACTTAAACCCAGGAACTCTGCTTAAAACTATACTGCCACCTAGTGGCAAATAATCATATTGCAAGATACTTAATAACCAGCGGTTAAGGTGCATACTGACTGTTTGCAGATGGTGGGTCTGGAAGTCCACTCCATGCTCTCTGAGGCTCCAGTGTCATCTGCCAGTGTTCCATCCTCACTGCACTCATCCTGACAGAGGCAGCGAGACAGTGAAACACTAATAGACTACAGTACAGAAGTGTTCCCCAAGTTGCTTCGTTCGAGTCAACACTACATTAAAAAGCAGTTTTTTTCTAAATTTCTGCATAACTAAATCTTTAAAATGTAAACAGTCTGAGTGTTTGACACAAAATGGTGCAATCTACACTAAACTGCCAACTCAAAAGTCTTTACAGTGGTGGTGATGGGGGCTGCGATGTCTACAATCCATAACATAGTCTTTTATATATACTGTCCAAACAACCAGTGAACCTTGATAATGGTAAAATAGCGGTAATTCAGAAAAGGTAATATTTCTTTGGGAACCACACTGTCCTACACCCTGCATGTATCCACCTCGAATATAATGATGATTATGGTAAATTATGCTATGGTGACTCTGTAGTACATTTTCTGTGGATACTATTTTGCCTTACATGCATCACTCTGACATTTAAAAAAAGGCATTTTAGGTCACAATCTTCTCAAAATTATAGCAAAACAATGTCTCAGGCATCAGGCAAAGTAATCATAATAGGAACAGTACTTTTTGGTTGCATTAGACTCTTCAGATATTTGGTCCCCCTCATCACCACTGTGATTCTGACTAGTTTCTCTAGAATGGAACTTTTCACATCAAACTACTCTGAATGACTTTACATCTTAACTATTTTAGTATGCAGAAATTTTTGAAAAAACAGGAATTCCTCTTTAAGCTTAGCCCAAGGCAAGTTATAAATACACCTTGCAGTATTTACCTCTGGAATCTAACTACCTGCAGAAGCATGTGAACAAGACACAGAATAACTGTTGGACTAGAAGGGTAGGGGAAAGATCCACAAAGACACTTACATGACATGAGCTTTGGTCATCAGAGAAGGTGCCAGTGTCATCGGTGCTATAACACACACTGATTCTGTGCAAAGCATCTTCAAAACCAATAAGAAAACATTCAGAGATGCAGATTTAATAATAAACAAATGTCAAAAATAAAAATGATAATAATAATGATGATGATGATGATGATGATGATATCAACAACAATTATCTTTATTAATCCACTGTCCCTGAGACAGGCTCCTCCAAATAATGGTGTCTCAGACTCTTCTGCGACTCACCCGTGTAATGTGGCTGCACTTTGACCTGTCCGTTCATCCCGTGGGCGCAGGAGTGCTCTGGTTTGTGGGCACAGGGAGGCATGCTTGCAGGCTGTTCACAAAGAGCTTCTTCTGCATTAACCTCAAACTGATTGAAGGAAATTGGTTCCGTATGTGGAGAGGGTTCCTCTAGGCCTCCATCCCTCATGACAGAACTCCCGAGCTGGGCTGAGGGTGGGGCATTTCCCCGGGGCTGGGATGGGGGCTGAGCCTGGTACAGAGGGTTGGGCTCCACTTGAACCCTCTCTAGACCTGGGAAGCAGATCACTGCAAGATACCAGTGGGCTCTGATAGAGTAAAAGAATACAAAGAAAACCAGAAAAATGGAGAGCTTTAGCTATACTGTCTTTATTTATTTTTTTTACACAACAATGTTCAAAAGCCTAAAGTTTGCATAATACGTCACACAAGTGAACCCCAATTACTGATTAGAAAACAATGGCTTACGACTCATTGATGGGGACGAAGATAAAGTCCTTCTGAAATAGATCCACGTGCCGCGTCCACGTTTTAACGCGGTTGTGCTTCCTCTTCTGTATCCTAGGCAAGGTTACAAAAAAGAAAATTAGAGCTGTCCCACAATGCCAAAAACACTTGAATTTAAACTTGTCAGACTGGTCATGACTGACTGAAAGGAACCTACGGTAGGTTGGTTGTGTCTTGTGCATTTCTTCTCTCTCTCTGATTGAGTCTCTTGTAGAAGAAGGAGCTGAAAACATGGCTTTTGTGGGCATCTTCCTTTTTCAACTTCTCTATAAACAAATACCTGCAAGTAGCCAAAAAAAAAATATAATATATATTATTTTTACATATATATTGACCACTCAAAGATACTTTAAAACATTGTGAAACAGTGGGTTGCGATGCATCACCAGCGCCAGCAATAGAGGGTCCATGTACTCCTCAACCAAAGCACTCTCTAGTGATATTCAGATCAGCTCTGTAAACATTACCAATATATTATTAATTGTTATAGCTTTTTATTTTTAGAAAACTGCCGCTGTAACTGCAACATCTTTACTAACTGTTTTTTTTTTTATATGCATCATCGCGTGCTGCTCACTAACAACGCTACGAACTGTCCAGGAAATCTGACAAAATACATGTTGTTTGGTACATTTATGGTCAGCGATGCCATGCGATCCCTGCTACTCCAAACTTCAAATGTAATACAGCAGCAGAGTCAGTAATACAGCACACTGTATCGCCAGCAGAAGTGGATTACAGATCCTGCCTTGCAATGCTCAGAAGTCCTTGTTGCTTCCGCTGATAAAAATTAAGAAAATTACTGTGATGCATGGTTAGTTAAGATGAAGGGGGGTCTAAATCTAGATTTTTTTTTATTTTTAGAGGGGGGTGAAAAAAGTTGAACCGCTGGGCTAGTTAATGGAGCTTGGGTGTGTTACAAGGTCACATGAATTAAGTATTGGTGTGATTTTTAAAGTATTTTCGACACAGTGTACATGGAGGAAAAAAAAATAAATAAAAAAACCCACAAAAGTGTCATCCATACTAACTTTAAGTAAAAGTCGATGATTACGTCGTTCAGGAACTCTCCGTCATTTAAACAGTGAAGGTCTTCATTTGTCACAGAGATTCCACCTTTAGCGGGTGGAGGGGGATACATCATTAATCTATAAAGGAATAAGAAATAAGAATAATGACGACGTGTTAAATGCATGACAGTGCAGCAGAAACCAGGAGTCAAATGTATTTCTAATTTGGACCACAAACCAACATGCATTTTGCCTCTAGCCACTGTTTCACTAATTCCAAGTTTGTTGTTTCAAATATGAAAGCTGAGTACAATAAACATTATAACAATAAACTATACTAATAATATACCATAATCATAATTATTATTATTATTGTTCTTTTAATTATTAACCTTTTCAACTCCTTGAGACCACTGGTGGTCATATCCTTCATAACTTTCATATTTCATAAGCTACATTCAAAAGGTGGGTGTCATATGAGAGCTGTAACTGTCTTCTTTCCAGTCAAATAGATGGGTAATGTAATTTTAAACTTTATAATAAAAGAAGCTGAACTTTTGGGCTATAAACTATAAACAGATGGCGTCTCTTCAGTGATCTGCTATGTAAAAATTATTTTTATAAAATAATACAAAGAGCATCTAAGATTTTTGACTTTCGGCAGTAAACTGTAAGCATATAGCAATATGTGTATGATCATAAAACACATTTTCTGTTCATTTGAGTGGATAAAAAAAATAAAGAAATAAAATAAAAATTTACATTTATTTCATGCAATTACTGAATAATTTGCCTTACAATTTCATCATGTAAATTCAGATGGAAAAACCAAAATATACCCTGGTGAATAGGTGCAGCCAGGTCATTTTTGACTCCTGGACTTCTGGCAGCTCAGCACACTTGGTGGAGAACAGTAACCACATATTTTGTTGCACCAGCTAACAGCACCCAGTGATGGGGTAGTGGGAGGGCCAATGCACCCATCCAGAGAGAGCGAGGACAATTATGCTTTGTTAAGACTCCCAGCCACGGACTACTAAGGCATTGCTGGGGACTGAACTCAGGCCACTCTGGAGACCTCAATCAGGTAAATCATTTTAAGAAATTGAACAGAGCTATCTGTAGATGGTATGCAATATAACGTAAATCACCCTCAGGTTTAAACATGAGGGTAACAGAGAGAATTTTCAGCACAATTAGTAAAATAACTAAAACTTCCCTTTTAAATGACTTGCATTTAGTGAAAATAGGTGACATGCAGCATCTGGCACAACCAATGAGGGCGTTTCCCACCTAACATTTTACCTGATTCAGGGTTAGGGACGTAGCAACATGTATTACGTAAAACAAACACATCATTATGCAGTCCGTACTTGATGACAGGGCCTGTAAAAGTAGGATGCAGTTCTGCCATATCTTCATCCTCGTCTTCATCGTAGAAAGCATGGAGCTGAGCAGACATTCGCGTCCTGACCGCCGTCTCTGTTGAAGCAGTGGGAGTCGGCGTTACCGCGTTTGCCGTTACTGCAGTAACTGTTGCTGTGGCTGTGGTGACTGAGGCGGTTACTGTCGTTGCGGCTGTTGTTGATGTCGTTGTTGAAGGCAAAACAGTTTTGGCTTTCTGTGCTTTTGCCTAAAATTTACAAAAAAAAGTAAAATGACAAAACCGATACCTTTTATATGTTGTTGTGCTGTAGAACAGGGTGATGCAGAGTACAATGTATTCCAAAAGTCCTACCCACCATCTAAAAGACATGCATTTCACTAGCTATTTTTCATAGTACTCCATTATTCAAGATATTCATAGAATACACTATTCATAGGATAGCATATTCAGAGCATATAACTGCAGACAATTGTAATCCCATTCACATCTATGAATGAAATAAAACAAAATGTTTAAACTTGTATGTGTAGAAAAACAACACTCACTTTCTCCTTTTCTTTTGATGCTTTGTTATACTGAACCAGTCTAATGTTGGCCTCATCGAAGGGCAGCCTGGCAGGAAAGCCCGAAAGGTTATTGTTTCGGCCAATCTCCACCAAAATGTCTTCCAAAATCATCTGCTCCTGCATTGACAGGCCGTTTTCAAAAATCAACACTATGTATTTCTCATCCACATCTAGGGAAAAGGAAGAGAAGATACATATCAAAAATTCTGCCATGCTATCAAAGCAAACGACCCTGAAATCCGAAATCCATAACTGCAACACTGAGTCAAGTTCTGCTACTCACTGCTGCCGTTGCAGTCGTACCACAGGCCACCACTCTCCTGTGTCATCTGGAGCTGGGTGCGTAGGCGCTGGCACTCGCTGTCGCTGGTCTGGAAGAAGAGTACAGGCAGTTTCCTCACACTGCACCACTCGCACTTCGTCAGCTCGGATGACCTCAGACGCACTTTCTCCAGAACGTCCACCTCTTGACCTGCACACAGATTTAACTGTTAAAGCTCCTGGGGAGGGATCCTCTTAGAGCTAACAAGGAAGACTTATGGAGGGGGGTTGGGAGGGTTGTGGTTTTTTTTTTAAGTAACTGAACGCAGTTTAATTTAAAAAATAAACTCACAGCATTAAATTTGTTTTAAAGCTTTTAAAAAAAAGCGTAATTATAGTAACTTACTTTCCGTCTCGAGCTGTATGTATTCGACTGTGAACTGAAAATGAAAAAAGAAAAATAAAATCAAAAAACACAAACAATATATAAACAGCAAATTCCCAGTTGTCATGTAGCACACATGGTTTAAATCCTGCAAGTTTACTGAGTAATAGATAATCCAGATGTTCTGGGCCTGTTTTGACAGATAATATTCATGCAGTCTCTCTACTCTTCAATAGCGACAAATCTCTGTAATCATAATGTTGCACAACATATGATTTTAACACCAGTGTAAACAAACAAACAAACAAAGCTGTGCGCTGACCATCTGCTGAGTGACAGTAGTTTGACACTCTTTTCCACAAACAGAAACATGGCTAAGATACCTGCATCACTGCTGAACTGTGTGGTGGTCTTAAAATTCCATAAAATTTCATACAAAGATCAACTGAGTGGGCCACCCCCAACTAATCATTCTCTCATGAGTGAAACCAGGGGCTCCCGAGTGGCGCAACCGTCTAAGCGTTGGCCCTATCATCAGGAGATTGCGAGTTCGATCCCTGGTGATGCTACAGCCATCCGTAGCCGGGAGTCCAAGAGAGCACAATTCACCTCGCTCTCTGGGTGGGTAGGATGGGGGGAGAAGGAGGGGCCATCACTTAACGCGATGCTAGTCAGCGCAAGCGTCTGTTCGCTGACGTAACAGATCTGGCGGTTGGCGCTTTCCTCCGAGCGCGTTCGGCTGTCCAATGACGTTGCGTGAGCGGCAGTTCGAAAAGAAGCGGTGGCTGGCTTCACAGGTCTCGGAGGAAGCCTGTGTTAGCCTTCGCCCTTCTAGCATTGATAGTATTGTGTGATTGGGGGAGTCCTAACTAGCGGGTAGAATTGGAGACGACTAAATTGGGAAGATAATTGGGTGTGTATATATATATATATATATATATATATATATATACTATATATATATATATATAACAAACATAACCTTACCCATACCCAAATGTTAAATTCAGCAAATAGATAATGTGTAATGTTGAGGATGTACACTTGTTTTCACTTAAAAAATAATAAATAAAAAAAAAATAATAAACACGTTATTTGACAAGGGGGCACCCAGAACTTAGTTACTGGGCATTCTGTATCGTTTGTGATGACCAATTAAATCACACACATTAAACTTGCAAGACAAGAACAAGACATTCACTGACCAAAGAAATAAAAGAATAATGAATCTTACAATGACTGGCTTGGTAACCATCCTGCGCAGACTTCCTATCCTTACACTCCTGCAGTCCAGAATAATGCTCTCCAGTTTCTGCGGTTGGCCCACCTTACGCTTCTTAGATGGAGATGGGTCCTCACACAAGGCATTCCCAAACTGCAGGGACATAAAACGCATGCTCAGGAAGCGTATACTGTACTGCACAAAGACATTCAATAAACCCATTAATACAGTTATTTAATATGAGGTTCTGGAGTTGGAAAAGACTCAAAGCTTCAAAGCTGTAACTGGATTCTCTATTGCTTATTGCACAGTAACAGCACTGTACAGTACAGTTTAGTATGTTTTGTGCTCTAGACTTGATAATCAATTACTGAATGGCATCATGAATTTTGGAGCAAAGAAAAACAGTAAACTGTGCACAGTCCATGTGTTCTCCAACACTGGATTTGAGACACAGAGCCAAATGTTATGGAAGCATATCAGTAGTAAACTTAAAATTAGAAGGTAATATGTAAAATGGCAATGTAATTTTATGCTTGAATTTAGGTTTCCGATTTATATATGCAATTTTGTACTTTGGCCCAAAGTGTGCCAAAAACACTATTACCCACACCATTACACCAGCTCCACCATGCAAATGAAATGTCAATGCTAGTGTACCAAATGACAAAACACAGTGGTAAAACTGAATTTGAATTTTCAAATTTGAGTTTAAAATTTCATCGTGAGAAATTTTAATTCAAACATAAGTATACACTGCCATCATGTTACCTTCTCAGTTTAATTTTGCTACTGACATGCTTCCATAAAAAGTAATAACAAAAACATTCACTTTTTAATCTAAGTTGATTTTATCACCAGGCCCTTACTGGATCTTTCATGCGGTTCCTCCTGGGTGCCATGTTCCTGTGGTCCATGTCTGTGAAAAATTCACACGCATGCTCTTCATGTTCTACCACACCTTTAACTGCTGCTTCCACCCTACCACCAGAGGGCGCCGGAGATGAGTGGGCCGAGTCAGCTGGCCTCGGAGAAACGCTGTCCAGACGACTGACACTGCCTGTGCTGGCATTGTCTGCCTCCTCATCTTCATCACTGGACAACACGACTGCAAATATACACAGACAAAACAACTTCAGGGTACAATGGAGCACAGATGCAATTTTGTGGGCGCTTTTTAAATTGTTTTCAGTGTCAGAGCTGCATTTTTTACTGAACAGGTTTCACAGTATCATGGTATTATACAAAATCTAAAAACACAAGTGTTCTTCCTCAGCTCAAAGCTGTTGTTTGGTTTACTTATGACCAACATGTGGTTACAACAAATGTGGACTGCAGAGCCAGTGTACAAGCGCTAAGGAGTTCCCTTCCCATGCGCAAGACGAAACGTGACGGAGGCTGCTTTACACTGTTTCAGGGAAAGCTGAGACAAAGGGGTTGCGACCCTCTGGTTTATGGATCTACACCTCACGCGCAGGAACGGACAGAAATGCAACAATCGGCATCCTGAAAAAGCCAACAGTCGGGTAATCATCCTATCATACGCCATGACTCATTCTGAAACTGTGACACCGTTACAACCTGAGTTGCAATAGGTAGTTAAGCAAACTGAGTAGTTGAGAAATGATTGGTTGAGTTTATTTAAAAAAAATATATAAATAAAAAAAACTTGACATGATAGCATTAGCCTGCATGCTGTCTATAAATGACTGCATTAGTAAAACCTTAGTTTAGTGTACACCACGTATAAAACACTGCAGCTGATTAACGCTGCTGTTACTCACTGGGGTCATTGAGTTCATGCTGTTTGGCGAGAGGCTGTCTCTTGCCCTTGGTTAGCTTGGCTACATATGACCCAGAGTTCCCCGCCGAAGTGGCAGAGGGCCTGCCGTTGTGTGGGAGCAGCAGGCTTCCCCGTGTGATCCGTGCGGGCGGGTTCATAACAATGTCCACCTGGGGAGAGCGCGCCCCAGAGGCGGGGCCGTAGAAGTTCTTGCTGAGCTGCATGTTGGTAGGGCCAGGAGAGTTCTGGGAGCGGATGGGGGGTCGAGGAGCAGGGGATGATGGGACGGTGGGAAGGAGGTGGTTCTCTGCAGGTAGGGAGTTCCCACAGTTATCGCACTTGATGTGGTCTTCACTTTGCTGGCCACAGTTTCCACACACAGTGAAGTACTCATCTGGCTGCAGAGGCTGATAGAGAGAGAGAGAGAGAGAGAGAGGGAGAGAGAGGGAGAGAGGGAGAGAGAGAGAGAGAGAGAGAAAACTCACTGCTTGGCAAAGGTCAGTGGCAAAAATCTCTGTTAACAGATCACTTTAGTCTTAGGATGCAGAAGCAATGCTCTTGAAGGTTCAATCAGACTAGGCTAACTGTGAATGAACGTAACACTCTGGAGTATTTGGCAGGGTCCTAACAGTTTTCCCCACACTTAACTGGTTAATAACTGTTAATAGACATGCTGAAGCCTGCTCCACAACAGCAGCAGATGTTTGCACATCACAGTGTTTCCACTGCACTAGCACTGGTGAGTTGTCGGAACACGAGTCATGTTCGCTGGAGGCCTGCAATTTGACATGTGGTTAGTGGGCATCCTTAATTGAAACACTTGCCTACTCACAACAATCAGAGTTTCACTACAGCATGCTTTGATAAATCTAGGGTGCAATCAGGCCTGTCAGAACTATAACACTTTTAAGGATGCATTAAATTTGGAAAAAGGAGATGAAAATTGGCTGAAAACAGCCTAACAAAACAAAACAGGCCTAAAACAAGGTCAAAATCTTACCTATTAAACAACTTTAAAAGTAGGTTAAGAAAATAAGTGTTTAATTTTCCCTATTGACCCTTAAAATTCTGGTGCACCATTTAAGGAATATTAGACAGGTTAGCACAGATGTTTCTGAATAGTCTGAGCAGCAACATTTCAACACAGAAAACAAAGGCTGTGTAAAACCCTTTCACGGTTTCTAAGACTGTCATTAGACGAGCCATTTGTAATCACTGTCTACACATCAAGAGGTGAAACAGCGCCCAGGAAATTCTACATTACAGGTTTAATACACTTAAACACATCTTGCTTTAATATGCAGAATATAGTAAAACAACAGAAGCAGAAAGGGAAGTCTCTGCTCGCGCACTAATGCCATCTGCAGCCCAGGTTTTTGAAATAATACAAAAATTCACAAACGACAGCCAAACTGAGAATTATAGCCTAAAAAATTAATGGAATTCATTGCATTTGATGAACAACTGATCCATTTTTGAGAATACTTGATTTGTGGCACATAATGTAGCACACTGTAATAAATTTATTACATGTATTTTATGTAAACTGTACTTCTGTAAAAGTCAGTTTTCTGTGTTGGTTCTTAGCCCAGTTTGTCCTGAATTTTATTTTCCTTGAACAAAAACTTTAATTTCAGTGCAATGCTAGAAATTGTAGCTGACAAACTGTCAAACAATCGCGGTTAACAGTGTCACTTAATTTAACAAACTCTATATACCTAAGGCCAAACTTAATAAACCTAAAGTAACCAAACTGGCTGATTCGTTATCTTTCTTCTAGGCCATCAATAGCTCCCAACTGATGACAGGCAAAGCTTGACAAATGCATTTTCTCCTTAATTTACATACCTTTGCATCAACCCAACACATTAAAATGTACCCAAATCAGTTTGTTGCAGTATTAACATTTGTGAAAGCTAAAAATTGTGAAAAAATAAATGGTTATTCTCACGTTTCTTCATCTCATCATAGCAGTACCAGCAGTATACGGTCAAAAGCTCTTATAAGAGAAGAAATTACATCAATGTGCATGTTTAAAGAAACCTGTTCATCTCTTCAGTGCAGATCTATCAGGGCAAAAGTGTCCAGTTTTTTACTGGTCAGTCTCTGTTAAAAACAACCCTCACCTCCACTGCTGTGCCGGAAGAAGGAACCGTGCCCATGCCCTCAAACATTGACCGCCGTTTCTGCTGGACACACCTTTTTATGTTCAGATTCTCTGAGTCTGCAGGACACAAGAGAAGAAAAGAAATGTAGGCACAGGTTGTTTCTTCAAGATACAAACGGTATAAGGCATGCTTTAGCCTTGAGAACATGTAACGCTTTACAGCTGTGCATTAAAAGGACAATAAATTATATTTTGCACTTTGTCTGAGGTGCACGTCGCTTATTTGCTCCTAGTCACAAAGCTGGCTACACGGCCAGTCACGACATCTGAATATTAAGCAGTCTGCAGTGTCTCCCAGACCACTGTAAGAAAGAAAGGCATTTCCCGAGCTCAAGGTTTGCTGTTAGTGCTCCCTTTCACTTACCATTCAAGCTTATTCTATTAGAGCTGTCACTTGTCATTATTAGTAAATGAATAATCGAGCAATTATTTTGACAATCAAGTAATAAAAGACCTTTAAAAATGGTAAAATAATAAAAATATACTTAACTGCATAAGAAAAAAAAATACAGCCTTTCAAACATTCCACAATACAGAAGAAGAAGCCTTTAAACTTCATTAAAAATGAATACTTTATGAAATTTAAATGAATAAAAAACAATGTGGCAAAAATGTATAAAAATTGGTGTATTCATCAGGCTTCGTTTCTGAGGGCGCATTCATATTTGTAGTTTGGCTGTCTTGGTCCAGACCAAAGCAGAAAACGACACATGGATACAGTTTAGCTCTGGTTCAGTCTGATATTTGACATTGAACCTAAATAAATGAATGAATGAATGAATGAATGAATGAATAAATAAATAAATAAATAAATACAAACACACATTCGTTCATAAAAATAAAAAAGTCACAACAGATCTGTCACATTTGGTGACAATATCTGGAATAATATCCAAGGAACTTTCTGAACTATGATGTACCCTTGTCTAACTGACCGTGTAAGCTTTATTTACAGCTTGTGATATTATAAAGCAGTGGTTCCCAACCTTTTTAAAGTACCGTACCCCTCAGAGATTAAACGTTCTGCTTGCTCCTTACACATGTACACCTGCGTAGAGTGCCATGACACATCTAAGACATTTAGTCTCACAAAACTAACCTCTTAATATACCTAACATGTTTGTGATGTGATGACACGCCACTAGTACCGATTAATACTTGTAGCCAGGCTGAATGCTAGCAAAACCAAACAGTTCTCTCCTTTATCAACACGCAAACAGACTTGGACAATAACCGCAAAAAAAACATAAAAGTTTATTTTCACAACCACACCCAAAAGTAGAATAAAACAGGCAAGGTCTCCAAGACCACACACTGGGACTTTCCAGTTAGATCACCAAGAGAGGTAGCCTAGAAAACTAGAGCTACTACAGGGGAAGATTGCCTTACATTTAGTACTGATGTTTCCCAAAATACTCATGCATACCGTATAAGGCCTGAACCCTGCAATCATTACAATTTTATAATATCTCACTAAAACAGTGGTGCCTGGTTCTAAACAAAAATGGAAACAGAAATGGCAACACACAAAAACACCTCAGTTCATTACATTAATCAGTTTCAAACAGGGGGGACGATATGACAAAAATATATCACGATACTTCCAAGACGTTCACAATAAACGCAATAATTTTTCTAAGATTTATTAACTTGGAACAAACAAAATTGAACCTGTAGTGTCACATACAGAAAAATATTACCACTAATAATAATACTAATAATAATAAATCTACAACTACAATGATTTTTACTCAACGTTTTACAAACTGCACTGCACTAAATCCAATTAAACAGGAGTAATTATGTCCACTTTGTAATGAAATGTGGTTAGACAGTGTTCTTTAAGTACTAAAGGTATCTATGATATGCTCAGAGAAGTGTATTGTGACAATTTACAACAACTTGCCCACCCCTCGTTTCAATAAGAAAAAAAAATACCTTAACACAAACTTCTAACCTTGACATAAATATAAACATAACATGCTCCAGACAATTTACAAAGCAGATGTAGATAAATCCAAGGCTTGTTACTACAGTGATAACCAGCCAGCATAGACCAGACTGCCACACAGTTAATTTGGAAAACTACTACAATGTTATAGTCATCGAAAAGTAGAAAGGTGCTGCATTTCAACATCATTTGCCAACACACTACGGAATCAGCACTGCTCTTCCTCACACTTAATATGGAAAACTATTACAATTACAAAACAATTCTACGATTACATGAAAGCATAAAACGCCTTAGAATGACTCACCCTCGTCACCGTAAGAGCCGAAGCCCCAAATCACTCACTTTTAGTAACATTTCTTTGACAAACAATAGCTGAACCGTGCTGTGTTGGAAACCCGTTTTGTTTTATCACCAGAGAAAAGGCAGAGTTCACAAGAATGCTCCTTCCTGGCACACAGTGAATAAATGAAAATAAATGTTAAGGATGTTTCTAAGACATATATTTCAGGAGTGCTGGGCAGAATACAAGCAAGAGAGGCACAAACAAGAAAGTCTGAGAGAAATAAACAGCGAATAACAAACACATGCAACAGATCCGTGTATCTCTTGGTCATTCAATTTTCATTTCAAAAACAGTATTTAAAAACAGGTCAATGCTCTATTTTCATTCTGTGACTGTTTGTGGATAATCTAGAAATGGCTTTGTTTTATTGTTCACATGCTAATCTAGAACTCCAAAAACTAAAAACAATGGAAAAAAGGGTTGTATTTAGCCAAATTTAAAATTTTAAAAATTACTTCAACTGGAAATAAATCTGCAGAGTGCATATTTGGTTGCAGAAGCTCAGAAATTAATTGGTCAAGGTTAAAATGAGAGACAGGAAAGATCAGGCATGAGTGTTGAGAAGACAGGCCTAGTTCTGATATTTTGTGAGATGATATAACATTTTTATAGGCGTTTGTATATTTGATGTATCTTTGTTCCATCAGCAAAAAAAACTGACCCATACTGGGGAAGAGACTCCCCTGCAGGACTCCTGCCATTTAACAGCAAAATAAAGAAGAAATCTAAGTGTTTCCCCAATAATGAAGAGAAAAATAATACTACAATATCACATCGTCAGTTGTGAACTTGGGTTTAGCAACTATGTTATGGCTCCATAGTTGAGAATTAAACCTGCGAGATGTGCGCCATCCTGTACTCACAGTGTTCTTATAATCTGGTTTTGGGAAAGGAGCTTTAGGAGGTGCGTTATGCAAAGCTGCACCGTAAACAGCGACTGTCTACAGTGAGCTGCAGGTGAGAAGTGACCTTCTCTGCTGACAGCCTGCGCCGTATATGCCTTTTCTGCTGGTGTACATAAGTAGCACTTCTTGTAGCAGAATCATGGCCTCTCGAGTGTCTCCTTCTTCAACAAGATGCTACAATACTCAACGTTATGGCTGAAAGGCATGCAATACTCTGAGTGCTGCACCAACAACCAGTGTCTTTGTTACATTAAATGATTAAACTGTAACTGGGAGACTCTGTGTTTGGCTTTAGGTCCTGTTGTGCTGTTTGTTGTGAAGAAAAAGCTTAACCATTATTTACACACAAACAAACCAAACCATCAGGATTCTGCACAACACTGACGAAAAAGCTTCTTAACTTGAACTTGAGTGCCTCAGCAGCTCATCTGGCAAACAAGAAGCCCCCTATTAAATGGTGGGAGACCAGTTTCCTCCCCATATCGTTCAACATCTATACAAAACATAATAGCCTATAGCCTATCAGCATGATAGAACAGTTTTTAACAGTGCTACAACATGAAGCAATGACGCTGACGTTAGCTTCTTATTTGAATTTCCTGTTCCACCTAAATGGCGCAGTAGTCACATTCAGCCAACTTCAGCCTCGTCATGAAGCAGCCATGTAACCAAATTGCTAATTGCTAAGCACTAATCACAGCAGCCTACAAACTCACCACAACCGCAAAATACACCTCATCTGTAAAAGTGAAACTAATTTGAATACACAATTAACAGTTATAAAATGATACTTTATTTAACACCAACAATGGTGGACTATAAACTAATACACTAACCCATTAGTTTCTCCAAAATGTGCACAACACACACTAACACACCACCACTACGTCAGTATTACTGCAGGGCTGAGAGTGATCCACCACCCAAATAGTACCTGCTCTGTGAGGGTCCATTGGGGTCCTGACCACTGAAGAACAAGGTGAAAGGGGGCTAACAAAGTACGCAGAGAAACAGATGGACTACAGTCTGTAACTGTAGAACTACAAAGTGCACCTATACAGTAGGTGGAGCTGATAAAATGGACAATGAGCGTAGAAACAAGGTGTACCTGATCGGTGTACATTTAACATTAAACAAAGAAAACAGAATTAATCAATTTTTAAGCCCCTTAAATGATAAATCACAACATTAAGAACACGTAAACCTTATGAGACCACCACACAGAAACTCAGAGGCAGGAGGCAAAGCCTCCCGAACCAAGAGATGTGACTCACTGCTTCTGAAAGGTTATTTAACCGCATATTTTCAAGACCATTTATGCATTCTATTCAGACATTGCCACGGCAACAGGACATATCTTTTGAAATCCTCTTTTCTGAGGACTGAGGTGCTGTCTGCCTCCGTCTCCTTTTCTCCTCTCTATCCTTCTCTTTTGCACTCACTCCCCTCCTGGGAGACACACCGATTAATCAGAGGCCAGCAATCCCCTCTGGCGTGCAGAGATGCAGACACACACACACACCAGCATGGAGCTTTGCCTCAATCATCAGGAACGTGCACACACACACACACTCCTCCCCTCCCCACATGCTGCGCTATCTTGGACAGAACACAACCATGATACACTGTGTTCCTTCCTCCATTCTCTCAGTCATGCAAAAGCACATCAACGGCGAACGAACACGGCGTTCCCATTAAGCAGAGACAGCAGAGCGAGACAGAGTCAGCAGGGACCTGCAGGCAAAATGAGGCTACAGAAATGGATGTTCTGAGTAGGTGCCATTTTATGACGAATAAAGGCCAGGCTTGCCGTGTTATGATGTTTGGTAAGGACAGCAGACCCTATACCAGCATATAAGCGCGCCCTGACCCAATCCTGAGGAAATGCAGAATAGTCTGACCCAAATATCACATCGTCCTTGAGCACTGATCCAGAGTCGGGCAGCTCCGGCCTTGATTTCCAGACTATTCAAGCAACACCGCAGCCCTGCTGTTTAAACCAGTGAATCAAAGACCCACAGACAGCAGTATTTACTGTATGCCATCAATCAGACTTGCAGCAAATTGTACCAAACCCAGAAGGCACTGTAGAACTTGGCCAGAAACGCTAGAACTGCTAATATTTTACTGAAATGGGTCCAAGTGTTCATTAGGGTCAGGTTTTACTAAATCGAAACAGCGTAGTTACTATACATTTCATACGTATCCCTAAGCAGGTGCAAGTGCTCATGAAACCAACAGGAACCACAAAGACATCACAAAGAAGACCAAAACATGACCCACTTTTTTGTACAGGTGGGTTACACGAAAATGCTGTGATCTGTGGTTTTACTTCAAACACCAAACAGGACATTAGTTTAACTTTCAGCTCCAAACACAAGAACAAGACCTTCTGCTACTCCCATTTTGGTGGCGTTAATCACTTTAAAAATATCGCTTTTACAGGACTTCAAGAGAAGCAATTATCAAGCAATTATTACTCTAATAAGTACTACACAGTGGCTGTACAGACAGAGTCACTATCATTGGAAATGCTTTACATATTTATATAGTATGATGTCTTTTTCCTTCTTAGGAGCCACTCGACTCCTGTGAGTGGCTGTTCGTCATAAATGTCATATTTATGCTCTAATCACAGTTTGAGTATCTAAACCTGGGTAAACAATGAAAGTTGTACACTGTTGTTATAAAATGTGTTAACTGTGGTTATATTTGTCAAGTTCTGTGAAAGTAAAACAGGAGAACACTAACATGCTTAGAGAGACAGACTATGTGTCAAGAGGAAATACAAAACAAAAACAAAGGCTACAAATATTTGATTTGATTCAGTTCAACTGTAAAAAGAAGGATGTATATATTGTTCTTTTTTCCATGGAGGGCATAAAACCAACACAAGCTGCCACCTGTGTTTCTACGGCCACACGTTAATTAATTGGTACTGAATTTCTAATGATCATGTTTAAGCGATGGTGTAGTGTTTGTCACTCTATATGCATGAATCTGTTGTTAGTAGTTAAACATGAAGAGAAGAGTTTGAAACTAAATAATGTTGACTAGGGACTAAGACTTTATGCACAAACTTAAGTGGAAAAAAAAACCTTATGCATTGCTGATGCAGCTTAATCCAGGGACATGCTTAGGCTTACCTGATATTTCTGGGCAGGTGAGAATAATGTTGTCTAGTTCTACTCTTTGGATTGGCTGGGTGGTGAAGTCAGGTCTACAGGATGGAAAAAGACATACATTTACGTAAGATCAAGTATATACGTTTAAATAACACGAAGAATAAAACTAATTCACAATACACAAGGTGCAGCTGCACGTCATGGAAACGCTGCTTAGAGCATGCAAACTATTATGCGATGCATTTCCATACATTTATGACAAAAACAAACAAACAAAAAAAAAAAGGCTCACTAAAGGGAAGGTGACGTCTGGATAGCCAAGACAGTGAATGCAGCTGCCAATGCTAACATTATTCTGAATTACTACATTGTCTAAAGCAGCAGAACACACAGACACTGGTAGGCGGAACAGGCTAAAACTTACCTTTCTTTCAAGTCAAGATTGCTTTGAATGGAGAAAGAATGTGAATAAATGAACAGTTACACTGCGGTCAATTTTCTTTTTGTATAAAAAGCAGAATTAATCAAGGTATTATTTAAGACGTACAATCCATGTTAAATTACTGCATATCAGTGTGCACGTCCATTCGGTAATTAAGCACCATTTCTGGACAATTAAGGTTACATTATTACAAAAGTACAATTCGGACAGGATTAGTTTTACACAGGTAGGTGGGGTAACGTAACTGTCACCAGTGTTGATTTTCATCCCACTCTAATTCACCGCATCACTACTTTTTAAAGACTATGCGCTCCTGTGTGAGTAAAGTTTCTGGCAACGTCTATATTTTATAAAATAACCTGTAGAAATGACCCCAGACTATATTAATCCCACGAGAATTGCCATGACTGTAAATATTAAAGGACATCCTGTTGAGTTCTTTGGTTTTCTTAAGCTTTGAGGCACCTGAAGAAACATTTTCTTGTATTCTCTGTGGCCCAAATGAAGCCAACATGTTTTGTCCTACCACAAGTATACAACCCTAAGCAATAGAATATGCAAAAAGACAACATGGATTGCTGGCAACAAGGCTAATGACACGCAGCAATCACTTAAGACATGTAGGGAGATGGTAAGGGTAAACTAAATTACTATTAAATTACATATTTGGACCTTTTCTATTGTGTATATTGTGTATAAAGTATATTGAACTTTGTGTCACTGCAGTGCATAAATTGAGTGGCTCCCATCTCTGTAACTTATGCAGAGATTTCCTATCCCTTGTGAATCACTCATAAACATTGCAGACGTCCTGTGGCAATATTACATTACCCCACTGTCTATGAAAAATTAATCCTGTCCAAATAGTTCCACAGAAATCTCTAGTTCAGGCACATAACTGATCCCTGGAAAATAATTAATTTTCTACCTCTACAATTTGCTAACAATAAGCCAAAAACACTGACTAATGGTCCAGATACAGAAAAGTAACGGTATAAATTAGCTATTAGCGTCTATTCGTTCAACAGCGCAGGATGTATTGTCGAAGACAAATTATAACAATAAGCATGCAAAGCGACTTACCTTTGGACTGGCTTCCTAACAGGACTGGGGAGATGAGTGTGCTGAAACAGTCTCCCTTGAACTACCACTCCTTGAGAGGGCGCTGGACTCACAATTAAATAATTGGTTCTGTTGGGTAGTGGGGAGATTGCCATTGGGTGTGGTGCTTCACTGGAAAGCAGACATTTGGGGTATTATATTAGGCTTAATTCTTTTAGCCCTCTGACAACAGCTAATTGCTTCTTTTTCATTCTAACTCATATGCTGGGGCGTAATTCATGCTATTTCATGCCTAATCCTATCATCCCAAACTAATCACAACCTACAGAAATGGCAGCTGGTTATGCGAATAGAAAGCACAGCGAGCAAAATTCTTTAGAAAATTTTGTTCAAAAAACAATAAATAAATAAGTAAGTCAGGACGACAGGAAAACCAATTCAACTGTTATATACAATTCAACAAGACTATAGAGCCCATGAAATACATAAAGGACCTTTTTGAATGTTACACATATGCCAGTACGCTAGCTAGGAACCAGTTTTAGCAAGCCAATCAACTGAGCCACAATGCACATAGCATGTGAAACAATACCTGGGCTTGCCTGTTCCCATTCTGTTGAGGGACTTGAAATGATTTGGCCGTCTTTCATAAGTCTTCACAGGCTCCATAGGGCCAAAGTGCCTCAGTGGGGGAGCCTGCTGGGAAGTGGGGGGGATGTAAGGGAGGGGACAGGGAGAGAGAAAGAGAAAGAGAGAGAGAGAGAGAGAGAGAGAAATAAGCATGTGTGAAGGAAAAAAGAAGATGAAGGATAAGAGGATAAAGCAAACTCAGCTCCTGTGCTGAATGCACCTATTCAGCAACTTCAGCAGCCGTATTCCCTAAACCTGAGGGAGAGACGCACTGCATAGCTGACAGAGCCTCTCAAATCATCTGCTGAGTTCCTGTTCTTATTAAGAATTTATCAGGTTCTAGTAACTGCAGAACAGTGAACTAAATTTCAAACGCAAACTGAAATAAATCATGATTTATTCTCAACCAGTTTTTATTTACCAATCCCTAAGTAAATGATACACATTTTTATATTAGACATGATTTTTGGTTCTGGAGATTTGTTTTTTGGATGTTTTAATACATTCTTTACCCTACAGAGCTCTGATTATACACTACACAGACTAGTTTGGCTCAGACGAATAAAAATTCGTTTCAATGCCTTTCTGCTCTCTAACAAAACAAGCCCTTAAAACAAACAAACAATCTAAACTAGAATTTATAAATGCCTTCAGAAGAAAAAGCACAAATCTTGCACCTATGAATCAGTTTGGCATCATTATGTTGTCAGTGTATGGCCATTTATACTGTTTATTTTTTTTTACTTCTTCACAAAATTTGAAAACTCCAGTTACCCTCTACACTGTGTTAAAAGTGCATGATGAACAGACCAATCCAAATCTTTTTACATTAACTTCCATTACAATATAAGCATGTTTTTCTTTCTCTCTCCTAAGGTCACCATTTTGGAGATTTTGTTGGTTTTGTTCCAACAGCGACGGTATTAAGTATTTTTATCACTAAAAATCAGTTCGATTCAAACATGCTGCTGGATTAACTTTTGTTAACTTTTCTTTAACACATTTTCATTTTATTGCTTGCAATTTCTGCAGAAAGTTGACGGAAATTTAACTACTGTCAGCGATTTCCAAAAAAGACGGCATATGCAAGCTGCTACAGAGACTGAGGAGCCTATCAACGATACAGTTTTACAGTTTTCAAGACACGGTTTAAACAATTACTTTGTTCGATTTTTCAGTGTTGTACTGAAATCATCACTCCCTCAAAAGAGCTATTTTACTGTTTTCTAATTTAATATTGCTCTCAGTGCTCTTTAAAAGACAACTGTGGGAAGTATAAAACAAATAACATTTTAATTCGGTCTTCGTATGACGTGTTCTATCCAGGTAAATATGTTGTTTTTGTATATTAATGACTGCTGCTCTCTCTGGCTGTCTCAGTAGGGGGGACAGAGTACGGGGTGTGTTTTTGCCCTAAGCTCCTCAACGGCTGCTGCAGAGCACAGTACACACAGACCAACAAGGTCAGACCTTTTAAGCTTGTTGACGCTAAAAGATCAGGCACAGTTACAAAACCATGAGCATGTGCCAGCCAAATTTGCTATAAAAGTAAGAATGCTAATCTTGCTAGCCTGGTAGTAGGGATTTGCCTGTTGCGTTAGCATTAAGCTAATGAGGGTGACTTTTATATTTTATAGCAGCTCTCTAGGTAAACTGTAGATATTTGAAGCCCATGACAGGCATTCAAGTAACATACCCTTTACTTTGGATGGTGACTCCTTTAGTAAATATTTAAACCCAAAGCCTCTCTCTGTAAATTATCGAAACTTGTTAGCTTAGCTAAATGCCCAGCTTACTCCAGTAAGGACAGAATATGGTCCAATTTGCCCACAGTAAGAGCCACTGATAGTAGGCAGAGAAGGTGCAAAGTACCAACGAGCACATAAATGTGAAAACAATTTAAGTAATTCCAGTTATGAAGCAAGAGCCAGAGGAGGGAGTACTGAAAAAGAAATGGGGACAGAAGGAAAGCAAAGGAAAGGGAGAGACAGAGAGAGAGAGAGAGAGAGAGAGAGACTGTGTGTGGGGGAGTACCTTCATCCCTTCAGGGGAAAGTTCCTGCCAACCACCCACTTGATCCATGGTCACCAGGGATGTGCTGAAAGGCAAAAGGAGGCAGACAGACATTAATGAAACAAACCACACAGACTGCACTCAATTTACTGCAAAAATGGGTCTGCTAGGCAAACAACTGCATGAGGGAACGTCAGCTTGGATGTAGTGGGTTCATTTTGGTCACAGCAGTGTTGATGGCCAGTAGTGTGTGGTCTTATTCAGTGAGGACTGTTCCATACTTGAACTTCCACTCAAAGAGGACACCTGGTTCAGAACTGCAGCACAAAGATCAACATAAGATGATAAAGCAACTAAACAGTCTGTTTCTCTGCAGTGTTTTGGAACCTGGGGCCGTATTACAGAAACTTCCCATCTCCTCAACTTAATATCTGACAGGTCAAGATAAGATTTCACACAAATTTGTATTAAAGAAGCAAATCTTATCTTGATTTAAGGATCTTATCTTACAGCACCTTATCTCAAGTTAAGAAATCTTAATTTACTTGATCGAAGACGACAATCAACTGTCATGTCTGTTACCTAGCAACCGACCATACGCGCACAGATGAAACGCAAACACGTAATCAAGTTAGTTAGCCAGGCAGCTAACGTTAGCTACCGTTACCGAGATAAAAAAATAATAAAATAAAACTAAAGCGTGATAAACTGAAAGTTAATAATATTGTGTCAGCGCTTCGTGCTGTTTATCAGATCGTCGCCGCTCTAGTTTCACTTCCCAAACGCTTTAGCCGAGCGCGCTAACGTTATTCCTCCTAATAAACAGACACACATTCAGCTCTGTCTCCTCATTTTTCACCACCATCACTAATATTTTATCTGTCGAGTTTTCATCGATGGTAATAAGATTGGACGGTGGAGATCGAGTCTGCAGCGTCTGGGGTTAGAAAAAAAACGCTCACAAGTTAAAGCACCATTTTCAGTGTAGATAAAAGTCATTGTGTGTTATAGTGAACTGTGCTGCCAGTCACAGCAGAAAACAATAGAAACAGACGGTTAAAACAGAACTTAAGATACCTCTGAGCTTGTCTTAAAGTTAGGACAGAATTTAGGAAATTCTGCCTAGTTCGGATGTTTCTATAATACTGTTTTCTTATCTGGAGTTAGGATAAGATTATGAACTTAAATGTTGTTCTGCAATAAATTCTTGTCCTAAATTCAGTCATAACTAAAGCTGTCATGGTGACTAAGCAGATACTATATAAAATAATATAGCCCCTGATCCCTGAACTAGGCCAGGCGTAGTTCACTATTCAATACATGAAATAGCGAGATCATCATCCGAGATTTAATCACTCCACTGCTGCCATAAGCAAGACCTAACAGCAAACATAGGCCAAACTAATTTTACAGTGCTGCTGTCCTGCAACTCAAGAGCTAGGAAATAAAAGGCCTAATTTGGTATTTCATATATATGTATGTGTGTGAAAAGACCCCAACACATTATGCCAGTGTAGAGATGTTTATTGTTGGCTTTCAATCTCTGATCTAACATCGTTAGAAACTCATTTGCTTAAACTTCCAATACCATAACAGACAAAAATATCACTAAATTGAAGCATTGCACATTTCCCAGAAGAACTATACTGTCTAAATATGAGGCATTCAACATCAGACCTTGAATTCTAGATTTTATATTCACTGGTAAAGAGCTGTTGACGTAACTAGCCATGACTCAAAGCCAAAAATGCACCCGAGGAAGGCTGCATATCTCAGTCGTTAAATCACTCGAAGGCTCATTTTGTAGGATCCTTCGAATGCGGCCGAACGCACCCTTAGTTTCTGAGAAATTGAAGAACTGAACTGGTGTGTCCTTCAAAAACTTTAATAACGCGCAATCCTTCACGTGCAACTCAAAACAGTTTGAGAAACAGCAGAAAACAGCTGAGAATTTGCAATGAAATGTTTTTAAATGCAAGATTTGAACATGTTGCATTGCTTGTGTTAGTAAGCCATGAAATGTCAGTACAGCCTACAAAAGTCATCTCAAATATATGTGACCGAAGACTGAAGAGGAGCCTTCATGTACTTCAGTGCTTAGAAGGTCTTTCCTAAACCCTAAATCTCCCAATTGGCCACCTAGTGTCGTACCTACCACTGATTACAAAATCCAGTCTGGTTAAGACTTTAGCTTTCGATTATAGTACTTTTTAGAGGCCAGCACTAGTTGAAGTCTTTCTTGCCTTACAACTAGGGATGCATCAATACCACTTTAAGACTGAGTATGGATGCATTTCAGTACTTGCCAACACCGATACTATAACGAGTAACCTACTTAAAATTAACTACTCATTAGTGTAAATGATGGCAAAAGTACCACAACAGTTAAATCATTAAAATCTAGCTGATTTTAAATGTATTGCAGTAGCAAGCTATGTTACATTATATTCCTTGGACTAAGTAGTGTTGTAGTGGGGGAAAAAAGTGGGTTTTGGTCCACATCAGAAAAGCGCTCGTGTACAGCTGTAAATAAAGCATGTTTCATAGTTTTGATCCTCATCTGTCTCTTTCAACAACACCCTCTGTAGCAAAGAAACAGCAGGAATCACATCCAAGGCTAACGCACCCAAAGAGCTCTGTCTTGTCGAGTTTGACGTCTTGTTGGAGTCTTTTGCTTGGCTGGTTGGCTAGTTGAGCTGTAGCTGAATGTTCTCTAAAGCCAGGCACACACTGTGTGGTTTCACAAATCTTGTTGTTTGGTAACTTACACCGTATGTTTAAACAGATCACTGTGCACCGACAAAGACTACATTTTTCACGCTGACAATGTACAAAAGCTCTCGGTCCGACTGACATGCTACAAAAAACGCAGCCTCTACAGACAACTCTGTCTAAGAACAACAAGCATATGCCCGACGGGAATTGTTTAAAGTGACCAACGACTTTGCAACCAACGTTCACGGCATCAGCAACATTTCCCTGTGTGAGCAGAGCAGCTTGAGATGTTTGTTCATTAGCCTGGTGTATGCTGCTGGGCTATGGTATCAAATGATATCAGATGTTGGTATCGGTGCATGATCAAGTGAGCATGGTATCGGGCTGATACCAGATACTGGTATGGGTACTGATGCATCCCTACATATAGCCCCAAGATGATCTTTGTGCCCCGATGCTTTTGGCAACCGAAACCCATCTGCTGATGACACAGGCCTGCTTAATGGGCTGAACAGGGTGCGCTGATAACTCAATAGAAGCAGAGCCTGGAGCTACACATCTACCTCAGGAGGACACTGTCCCTCATTCTGCCTACTGCCATCCTAAACTGCAGCATTTGCAAACCTGGCTTAACAGATATCATGTCATGAAATAACTATTATTACACAAGCAAAAAAGCTAAAATGAATGCAGAATCCAACATGGCGATTGCACTGCCAAAAGTCCTGAGACTGCAGCTCTTTCTCCTGTGCATGCAGAAAGCCCTGGCCATGTACTTCCACGCTTTAGTGAGCGGAACGGTGGATCTCCACCGTGACTTTTGATGGAATGGAAGGCATCGCTCACTGTTATGAAAAGCAGGCAAGAGCAAAGCTGCGGCAGTTCTGAATGCAGAAACAAGCTTCGGAGAAGTGCTTACTCATTTCTCCTCTCCTCTTCACTGTCATCGGAGAAAGAAAAGCTCCAGCTCTGCTTGAACCCTCCATCTCTCCTGGCCTCTGATCTATCTAGAGCTTAAACAGATAAAGAAAAAAAAAACAAAAAACAAAAACTTACTGCATAGTGAGAGCACAGATATGCAGCCACACAAGACCTATAAGTTAAAGCTCACTCGCTACAGTGTGCTTTATATTTCCAACAACATTTAACCAAAGCGTTTCATTAATAACTGAAAGTCCAATGGTGGTGTCTCAATTTAATGCATATGTTCTCAAACATGAACAAATGCAAAGAGCATTATGTCTGTGCTCTCTTTTCGTTTGTAAGTGACAGCACATTAACCACAGAACACCACAGAAGTTTCTGACTTCCTTAAATAACCAAAAAAACTCTTCCATTTGACACAGTTTAGATACAAGAAAAGGTGTGGCTGACAGTGGCTTGTGCACAAGATAACTGGCATGATTAACGTATAGGACTGTGGTTCGATCTGATGATGCAACTAAACAGGCAATCAGTCCTAAAACTATAGTTTAATATGTTATTTGTCATGTTATGCAGTACTTTGTAGCACAGCAAGATGGCTTAGCATTATTGGTTTGACCCAATTCACAATCTGAATTTTGAATAGATTAATAAAAGAAATCATGAAAACAATGTTCTTTTACTACAGTGCCCAGTATGCACTATGTAAATGCATTACGTGGTGTCAACAAATCCTGACTGCTAGTCTAGACACTGATCTATAGACAAACAAAACTAGTATTCGTGTAATTCTTACTTCAGTCATTAAACAAAGACTAGAATAGAGTCTATCGTCACTAATCCCAGTCTCACCACTCTAATGAACACAGTTACCACAGTTACATGCCTGCATTAAGACATTCAGATTTTTAGCAGTAACATAAGGCATCTGTCCTTCTTCTCCATTCACCAGCTAATGAAAAAAACAAAAAAAAAATTCAAAACAACCACCTCATACACCATACATCATCAGAAGGGGGTTTTCTAGTATTCACCAGAAAATCACATTCCAGAGCAGTGGTCTCCAAGCCTGATCCTGGAGAGCCACCTTCCTGCAGAGCCTAAATCCATCAAGCCCCTGATTGGCTAGATCAGAAGTATGAGTTAGGTAAAGGGCAGGACAGTCTATTAGATATAGACTGGAACTAAACTCTGACGTGTGGTAGCTTTCCAGGACCAGGGTTGAAGACCACTGCTCTCCTGCAGCGAGTAAACATGTTTACAACAAATGTAGTGACGGCTAAAGTTTTCACTTTGACCAAAGTGTCACTTTAGTACATTGTTTCCACTACAGTCTTTCTCCTTCTCTAATACAAATGCATTTTTAAAATGAATGGGATCTGATACATTTTCATTTCTGCTTTGAAAATGAAAAGAAGCTGACTTTTGATAACAGACTCTGTTGCTTATTTCTTCATGATTGCTTGTTTCACTGACAGAGAAAGTGAAGCTGGCTAAACCTAGCTCATAAGAAGGCCCTAAATCAAACCCCTAATTTAAACCTTGACCAACAGTTAACAAATGCTGGCTCAGCCGTGTCCAAGACAGTCATCTACAGCGAGCCTATGACTGTAGCCAGAACCTAACACTTACATATCATGCATTTAAAGGGTAGTTCTGTGAGGGAAGAAACAGGGTGAAAAAAGTGACCTAATGAATACCAACCTGCATTATATGGTAATGAATGTCTGGGACCATTCCAACTCTAACACTGATTATGCCATCACACAAACTATTATAGTCTCTGTCACAGTTCAAATTTGATGTTAGGATTTACTGATGATACACTAAGGGGCCACAGTTTCCTAGACCCACATTTAGCCTAAACTAAGATTAAGACTGGCACTAATATATCCAAAAGTTTGCAGACACCTCATGGGTATTACTAGGGCATTTGTCTATTCTTTGATACACCAACAGCCTCTACTCTTCGAGGAAGGCTTTACACTAGAAGTTGGAACTTTGCTGTGAAGTTTTGTTTGCATTCAGCCAAAAGAGCGTTAGTGAGGTCAGGTACTGATGTAGCACTGGATCGTTCCAACTCATCCCGGAAGTACTGAATGGAGCTCCATTACTCCAGAGAACACAGTTCCACAGCCCAGTGCAGGGGGGATTTATACCCTTCTGGCCAATACTTGGCATTGGGCATGTTGACCACAGGCTTATGTGTTGATGCTCCAGAGCGTCACAGTCTATTGGCAAAGCTTTTCTGTGGAGATACAAGCTGTTAGTGCACAACTGAACACTTGTCTCAGCAACGGGTGCACCTTAAAGCAGCTGAATTCACAGAGATGTAAACAAAGCCATTCAGAGGGGTCTGGTGTGAAATGCTCTGTTCTAGAGAAACTTGCAGAGTCAGAATTGTTCACAGTGCCAGTGATAGGAACCAGACGCCTGAAGGGTCCAACGCCTCTGAAATCTACCTCACAGGATGATATTACATGAAATGATTAGGTATAATCTGCCTGTTGTCTTACACATTGTTTAATGATAGTTTTGTGATGACATTTTGGCTTACAATGTATCAGAATCCCTTTATTTTAATCCATTCAAATCCATCCAAATTCAAAAGACGTGTAGATTCATTGGTGGTTTTGGATAGTAAACACAATGGTTATATGTGTGTTGTATACATGGCAACCTCTTGTTACTATCACCACTACCGTACAGAAATCAGTCTGTAAGTTTCTCTTTCATGTCAAACCAATCTGAATGACTCTGTTTACATCTCAAGACCATTATTATCATTCAGAAATTTTGAAAAATTGGTGCAATTCCACTTGACATGTATTTACACTCCAACCAGTGAGTTAAGCTACCTTTTCACTGCAAAAACAAGATCCTATGCACGAGCATGAACCATCAGGAGCATAACCCACATGTTTCGCATACCAGGCTATCGGTATATGTTACCAAACCAAATGCATTGGACTGGTCTCTTCTACTAAAGGCCTCATCATGTAACCAGATGCTACATTCCACACCTTTGTGCAGACTTGACTCTCATCTAACTATACACAGCTAAATCAGCATCACAACACAACTCCTCAGAAGAAGAATACCTTCAGGTGGAATTAAGCACACAAACATTGCCAGTTGTGTAGACAACATGGGGGCTCAGTTAAAGCATGGGCTACAAACTTAGGTTAAAGAAACTAACAACAGGGATGAGCGTATTTGTAAAAGACAAAAACCTTCACTTAAGTTAGCAATCCGAAGCTATAATGCAAACACAGTGTACTCAATCGCACTATGCATTTTGAGGAAAAGGCTCTGAAAGTCTAGCAATGTGTGCAAGTAGCTAGCAAGGCTCGTAGACAAAGCTGCAGTTTGCATGCACTTAACCTACATGCACAATTTACAGCTTTCTTGACTCAGAAAACGTTCAAATCACGACTTGCAATAAACGATATGTTCATCCTTTTCCTTTGCAGCAATTCTGGCTTATATCTCTCGTCAGGGAGAAGCATTTTAGTATAAAACATGACGTTTCTGTCTTGCTGTGCTGAAGGCCTGTAGCTAACGTTATTCCAGCTACTTGGAGCTTTTGCTTTAGCTTTAGATTGAGCCAGCAACGAATAAACTCGCTGAGGCTGTGTTCGTGCAGCCCTATGAGTATGGTGCTGAAAAAAGACACGATTCTTAAAAATTAAACTGAAATTACAATTAAAATGTCGGGCCTGCAGATTTCTAATAAGTCCAAACAAGGGCGCCAGGCTGCTAGCTAACTGCGCTAGCCGGAATGCAAGCGTCAAACACATATGAGCGCTTTAGGCTGCGTGAGGTAATTATTTAATGCGCAAATCACAGCAACCATAATTTGTTAACATTTATTTGGCGAGCTAAAATGTGCATTTTTATAACCTCAGTCGAGGCAGCAGGCAAGCAAACAAATCAATGGCCACCCTGCTGACTAGCCATGTTTGCAAAGCGTTGGGAATTCGGCTAGCGAGCTAACAGGCTAACGCTAGCTACTCGCACCGTTAGCGGTTAGCCGAAACGGCTAACTACACAAAATAAGCCCTCACTCTCTGCCAGCAACGACGCGGGTCCTTTTTAATGCGAATAATTTTATGCTGCTGGGCACTGACTAGCTAATATGTGGCATATGAATTAGACAGTGTATAACGTCTTCCAGCAGAACTACTGACCTTCAATAAAAAGGCTCTTCTTGTGGGCCATGTTTATTCCATGTTGTCATCATCGGGCTGAGGCTGTTTTGTCTCTCTGCTGAGGGGAGAGAGCTGTGGCCACCTCAAGAAGAAGCAGGGGGACGCAGCGTCGTCAACAGTGGGATTTCATGAAGAAAAAAAAACTGTCACTATCGTAGTTTTTACAACACCAAACTGGCTATATAATTACAGCCCCTTTTCTGGTCACTTACATTTAAGTCGTGGTTGATAAATATGGCTAAACCTCTATATCGTACGCCCGCTGAAAGTAAATAATCAGTAGCCGTTTCAACCAACTGTTCGTTTCCAACGTTTGCAGTGTTATAGGTGATTAATTTTGATAGAAAATTGTAAATTTTCACTTGTATGGCTTTCTCTCATCAAATATTATAGCCTTTCAGACATAACGTACACTCTGGCTACGTAAATCTTTAAGAATTTACGTTAACAGAGCCTCGGAACTCAGATTCTCAGCTGGTTGCTTGAGTTCATTCTCATTGATGAACTATATTATTAATTTCTACTAAACCCTGCTGTCTGTCTGTCTGCTGCTCTTGCATAGACTGCAGCTGGAGATTTCCTTCACTAGATGGCTCTAGAGAAGCGAGTTTCATTTAAACTGATATTTGTACCCACAGTAAATATTCACAGTAGGGCAAGTCTGATTGTATTTAGGCTCTTTTTGGCCGTGCCCTTTTAAAAACCTTTATTTAACACAGACTTCCGTCATCAGTTGTCAGCTGAGGGTGACTATCATTCCATAGATAAAACTATACCACCACAACCTGTGACTGGGCACTAAAGAGAAATTCCACCATTTTTTCAATTTTTTGCTGAAAAAACGAATTGTTGATGTATGCTGGTCTATTTTATATATTATAAATACATTTACTGTTATATTTGCTGCTCAATACTCTCGTATGTACATACTGTATATGTGCAGGGTTTAGATGTAACAGAGTACAACTATTGGGAATATGTATTTAGAACATAGAAATTAAGTATCTGTATTCAGTCCAAGTTACATTTTGTAAAGGCAGTATTCAGAATAGTTACATTTGTACTAGAGTACTTTTAGAATGCTTACCAACTAAATAGAAAAATACACACACGCACACACACACACACATCATCTAAACCACTTATCCTTCTGGGTCGCAGTGGGGTGCTGGAGCCTATCCCAGCAGTCATTGGGCAGAAGGCAGGACACACCCTTGACATGTAGCTAGTCCATCACAGGGCTAAAAAAAAACATTATTTAAAATACATACCATCAATACTTATTTACAAACTATGTTAGAATCATCGCACAACATGTAGCAAACATGTTCATTAGACCAATTCTAAAAAGAACCTAAAATTAACTGCTTCTTTTAACACTGAAGTTCCTGTTAAAGCCTGAGTAGACTGATAAATCAATGTGATGATCAGTAATTAATCTCAGTGTTACTGAGCTCTGCTAAAGCCTGAGTGGACTGATAATCAATGTGATCAGTTATTATTCTCAGTGTTACTGAGCTCTGCTAAAGCCTGAGTAGACTGATAAACCAATGTGATGATCAGTTATTAATCTCAGTGTTACTGAGCTCTGCTAAAGCCTGAGTAGACTGATAAATCAATGTGATGAGCCAGTTAAAGGAATGATCAAACTATTAGTCTCCTCAGTAATGGACATGTTTGCAAGTGATGAGTTTAGCATCAGTGTTATACTGGGTTTCTGCTTAGGGGATTGTGGGAAAAGCAGTGGACTGAAGTTTGTGAAAGAGAAAAAAATGAAATTTTTTTGAAAAACAATTTTTTTAAATGATGAGGAATTTTTCATGAAAGGTATTATCAGAATAATTATATGAAGAAAATTGCCAACCAGTAACAGCGAGGAACCATACGAATTAAGAAAAAAACACAGTTTTCCTTACTGAGATGTACTGTAAATGTATTCTGAATATGTTACTTTTTATGTAATGGAATATGTGACTGAATACATTTACGGCAGTGTATTCAGTATTTAGCCATCTCTACTTTTTTAAAGTATTTTGCTCAGCACTGTATACATGTACCTAAGTACTCCAGTACTTGATTGTAGCTCCAACATACTGCCTATTTTATGCTTATATATAGTATCTTTTTCTATTCTATTCTATTTCTATATTTATAGATATATATATGGATTTAATTGTATGTTGACCTCTACACCAAGAGAAATTCCCTGTACACCTGGTACCTGGCGAAAAAAGATTCTGATTCTGGTGCTGGTTTAGCTTATCATCTAGCATTGTCAAGCTGGTTGACCAGCATACCAGCGTCCAAAATACAACATATTGCTGCTGTCGGAACAAAACCTCATATCTCCATTTTTGTTTTTCAGTTTCTTTTATGATTTGAAAATGCCTTTTGCCCTTTATATTGTGTGTAAATTTCATGACGATTGGACCAAAATAAATGCCCCAAAATGACTTGGAAAAACATCTGGTTCCATGGACTTACATTAAAAGTATGTTTTTTCCTTCTCCTGTAAAGTTACCATTTTGGAGATATGAGGTTTTGTTCCGACAGCAGCAATATGCTGGTTTTGCTGATGACCAGCAATGCTGGTCTATGCGTTTTTTTTTTGTTTTTGTTTTTTTTGCAGGATTCTCCAAAAGTTAACTGGTTGTTTTAGATAGATAGGAGTTTTCTTTCAGTGTGAGACTGATGAACCTCACCTGGATGTTCCAGAGACAATCTAAACAGTAGCCTACCATCCCGTATACTATCTAACATAGTGAGACTTAACTTAGCCTTAACGTCCCATTTTGCTCTTTCTAATCCTACGTATGGAAATTTTATCTGTAACTTCACTATTCCGTGTTATCCATAGGAGGCTGGATTCCTGTTTTAAGTCTCGACTCCAGGTAATGTATCTTCCCTGAGGTTTCTCTAAATCTCCTTTGTTACGGTGTATGGTGTAACATAGTCCACAACAAACAAATTGAACTGAACTCAGTTGAACTGAACTGAATAACAGTTAAGATGACCAGCACCGTGGTGCTGCGGGCAAAGTCGCCCCTGTTCATTTCATCATTATAGCACAGCCTTTTATGTAACTCAATGAGTGACTGAGGTTTTGTAAGTTTATCTCCAGAATCCTCAGGCCTGTTTTGTGTAGGATAAGTTGCCTAGGCTTTACATCCGTGAGTGTTGTCTGGAACCTTCTGCTAGGCATACAGCGCTGTGCAAAAGCAAGAGACCACCCTTCATTAATTTAATTTCCAGTCGAAATGGCCACTAAGTGCAAGTTATTCAATCTTCAGGTGATATTTCAGGGGAGATTAGATAGAAGATAGTCCACTTGCCTAAGAAAAGGGAATGCCAAATGAAAACAAGTGGAAAAACAGTTTCCAAAACTTTTTATATATTGTTATATAAAAGTTTATATAAGTTTATATAATGATTTAAAAATACAGAGAAAATGGGACTCCTAATAACCATCCATGATCTGGTAGACCACCAAAACTGTCCCCATCAGATAAAAAGTATTTGAACCTTCTGTCTTTAAGAGTGTTTCATCCTTCCACTGTGAAAACACAACTCAACGCTATGGGTCTGACAGGATGTGTAGCTCCCAAGAAGCCTTTACTGAGAAAAGTTAAAAGAATGTTTGCAAATCAAGAAAAGAAGCTGCTGGTGTTGGACTGAGTCCAGACCTCAACATCACTCAATGTGTTTGGGATTACTTGGATTGTGTGAAGCAGAAAATACAACCAACTTCCAAGACTGAACTTTGGAGGTGTGGAAAAATATCCATGTAGATTTCTTTGAAGACCTTAAAGCTAATCTCACTAAAAGAATGGAAGCTGTAATAAAGGCAAACAGTGGACACACTAAATATTGAACAAATGTAAATTATATTAAACTGTTGAGGCTTCTGTTCATTCTCTGTTACATAGATGTTTTTTTGCTTTTTTGTGGTGCTGAAAAATGGACTTGTACTTCTGACGGGAAATTAAATAAATAAAAGGCGGTCTATGATTTTGCTCTAGTCACAGTTGCAATGCGTATTTGATTAAATTTGATTAAAATGGTCACTGACGATTGTCTGAATACCAGAACAGGCAGGTACACCATGAAACTGGTAAAGAACTCTTTCATTTCCATATTTTATTACAATTTTCCAACAACACCGTCCAATGAAATGAAACACTTTCCAGTCACTGTAACACTTGGGAGTTCAAATGCTGGTAAACAGATATGTACCCTGACTTGCCAAAGGATGTGACCTTTTAATGGAATACCATATCACTTTCTATATGCCGTCATTCAGCAGAATGGCCCAAGCAACAGAGAGAGAGAAGGTGAGGTTACTCCAAAGAAAGCTAGATACCTGAGATGCTTCCAAGACTACAATAAGAGTTTCAATCAAAGTAAAAAAAGGAAAAAGAACAGAAACTGAGTTATCATTTCCATTTGATGGTCATATCTAGCATAGCACTGTGATGACATTAAAGATAGACAAACATAGACATTCACTGTAGTATTGTTCTAGAATTCTAAACAGAGATTATTATGATCTCATAACTATTATGATGCAATTAGAATAGAACAGAGATAGCTGAGATTGGTTGGTGTGCCATGTCTGAGTTTCATTTTTGTGAAAATCTACAACAGGGGTGCCCAAACTTTTTGTCTTAGGGGGCCAAAGTGCAATATTTGTGGTGGGCTGGGGGCCAAAAAGACAACACAATATAAAAATAAAGAAGGTAGGTCAGTTTCAAATCTATCTTCAGGTTTTTGCAACCAACTTTGTCACTAAAATACTTAAAAAATACAATTTTAAACAGAAAATAAGGGGGTGGGGCTATGGCAACTTTCTGGTGGGCTAAAACAAATGTCCTCAGGGGCCAGCTTTGGCCTGTGGCCCACACTTTGGGCAGGCCTGATCTAGAATGTTACCTCCTCTATTCACTCTGGATCATTTGGCTTGTCAATACAGAACATTTTAAGGATAACTGCAAACATTGGAACGTTCATGTCTGCTGGTGTACTACTAAAAAGAATAAATCCCACAACCATGTAAATAAGAAATCTCTAGGAAAATTAACATCAATAAAAAGCAAAATCCTTAACTGGAAAACTGCAGAACTTTCTTAGATGGCATTGTACTGGAGCACTGTTCCACACAGATGTATTATTACAGGAATGCAAATGCTATTAGAAAAAGACCTCAACTGTAATATTGTGTCAAATAAATCTATTTCATCATAATGTGATAGAGTCTTGTATCATAGAGGACACATATACTGCTCCATAGGTTACTCATTTGTGGCACTGTTAAGTATTATAGCACTTTAACCTTTCCTCCTTATTTCAAGAACCCTACGAATAGGAGCAGCATTATCGTAGAGGTTTTCAGGGAGAGAGTATCCAAAGAGCTGGAAGTCGGGCTCATAAATTTTGTAGAGTTTTCTCCTCCACTCGATGGGGATGCTGGTAAACCAGGTCTTTATCCAACTCTCCTCCGTTCTGTTGCTGGTACCCGGTGGAAAATGCACGATGTGGTCGACTTTAAGAACACGCAGCAGG